ATTCCCAACCCGAGACACTAAAAAACAGCTTTGGTGCCCTGGCCGGGGTGACCAGACCCCAGGACACGGCCCAGCTGCTCGCAAACAGCTCCCCCAAACGCTCCCATCAGCACTCATGGGAGCACCCATTGGGTGCGCTCAACCACCTCTGCTTCCATCTCCAGGGAGATGTCCAAGAAAAGCTTCGATTTGATGGAGACGGGCACCGGGTGAAGCTGTGGTGGGACGCGGAGTCAGCGTCACGAGGTCCGGGGTCTTCCCTGCAAGGCCAAGCTCTCGGCGATCAAGCACCAGCCAAGCTTCAAGGTATATACATATTTTATTTAAAAAAAAAAAAAAATTTTACAGTTCTGTAATTATACACAGCTATCGGAGAGGTTATACTCTTAGAGAAGAGGCTTTCTGTCAGGGTGGCGGATGTGCCCACGACATCAACAGCGCAAGAAAATAGAGGAGGGAAAAGTAAAAAAAATAAAAAAAAAAAATAAAGAGCCAACTCAAAGAAAGGGCAAAACACCCCCGATTTCTCCAAGTGTCAGACAACAGGTACCAAAGGCAGGCAGGAAAATCGTGGCCATTTCTCAGGCTGCGAACACCCCTTGCTAAAGTGCCGGCAGAACTCAGATGAGAGGAGAAAAAATAATAATAATTAAAAAAAATTGTCAAACGCTTCCCGGTCTTTCAAGTAAAGTGTGTGAGGAGGGTCCCTCCGGCGGGGATGGGAAGGGGAGCCCCGTCTTTCAAGCGTGTGTTAAGGGATGGGAAAAGAGCTGGGAAAAGAAGAGAGCTGGGAAAAGAAAAGAAGGGAGCTGGGAAAAGAAAAGAAGGGAGATGGGAAAAGAAAAGAAGAGAGATGGGAAAAGAGATGGGAAAAGAAAATGAGGGAGATGGGAAAAGAAAAGATGGGAAAAGACAAGAAGGGAGATGGGAAAAGAAAAGAAGATGGGAAAAGAAAATGAGGGAGATGGGAAAAGAAAAGATGGGAAAAGACAAGAAGGGAGATGGGAAAAGAAAAGAAGATGGGAAAAGAAAATGAGGGAGATGGGAAAAGAAAAGATGGGAAAAGACAAGAAGGGAGATGGGAAAAGAAAAGAAGATGGGAAAAGAAAATGAGGGAGATGGGAAAAGAAAAGATGGGAAAAGACAAGAAGGGAGATGGGAAAAGAAAAGAAGATGGGAAAAGAAAATGAGGGAGATGGGAAAAGAAAAGATGGGAAAAGACAAGAAGGGAGATGGGAAAAGAAAAGAAGATGGGAAAAGAAAATGAGGGAGATGGGAAAATGAGATGGGAAAAGAGAGATGGCAAAAGAAAAGAGAGATGGGAAGAGACGGGAAAAGGAGAGAGCTGGGTTGGGGTTCAAGGCGGCGCAGGCAGGAGGAGCAGCCTCCGCTCCAGCCCTTCTGCGCCGAACCCACCCAGGGGATCAGAAAAACTCGTTCCCGAGGGTCCCCGAGCGGGCGACTCGAGCTTTTCGCACCCCAAAACCCCCTCGACGGCGAAAGGGAGAGGCGGCGGGAAGCAAAGGCGGGAAGGGGCGGTGGCAGGGCCAAAAAAGAGGGGCCGTGCCCAGAAACCCCCGGGACCCCTCGACTTGCTGGAGAAGGGTGGGAAAAGCCCTCGAGATGATTCAAACCCACCCGGGCAGGCGGCTCTGGCTGCAGCCCGGCTCCACCTTCTCACCTTCTCACCTGACCTCACAACCCGAGGGGGAAGTTTCTTTTGGCAGGAGGGAAGATTTGGGAATAAAACCCACGAGCAAACCTGCTGGAGGAGCGGGAGCAGCCGGGACCAGGAGTTCCGAGCCCACCTCAGCCCCTAAGAAACACCTTCCAGCCACAACAGACATTTTTTATTGATGGATTTATTTGTTTATGAGCAGCATTTGGGGGATTTTTCCTCCTCCCGCGACCCCTGGGCGCTGGGGACGCGCGTTTTGGCGGCTCCTGACCCCTGCTTTGCTGCTCTTTATTTTGATGATTTTTTTTGGAGGGGCAGCACACAAAAGGAAAGGAGCGGGGGGAACGTGCGAGCGGTTCGGTTGCGCTTAAATCCGCGTCGGGAACCGGAGCGACGGGGAAGAGAAACCTGCAGAGGAAGGCGGAGGAGGAGGAGGAAGAGGGGGATGAGGTAATTAGAAGACTATTTTTATACAATATTGAAAAAATACAAATTTTTATTGTGATTTTTTTTTTTTTTGGTGGGGGTATTTTATTTTTTTTTTTTTCTTTACGTGGGGATTTTTTTTTGGTGATTTTTTTTTTTTCTTTTTTTAAATATTTTAAACTGATTATCACCACCCAGCACTTGAACTCTACTCCTAAGTAGCACCTACAGTAAAAATTTATAGCACAAGCGAACTGCGAGGGCAGCAGGGAAGCAAGTTAAAACAGGGCCAGCAAAACGGGGCCCCTCCCTCCCCAAAGGAATGAGAAAACCCAGGGTTCAACACAACGTGACAGGTTATAGAGTTAATATCACCCTTCCCACAAGCCACAAATGCTAGATAAAGAAATTTAGCACAGCCACTAGGCACAGCCCTAACGTCACCGCTTTAAAATCAGGAAGGGGAAAGAGGGAAATTAAAAAAAAATAGAAATAAAAATAAAAATTAAAAAAGCCACCCTTGTTTCATGCCCATAATTAACGTAAAGGAAATTCTTTGTATGTTTTTATTAAGGAGAAAAAATCATGCTAAAGCAAAACGATACTTTACGAGGTGTTTGGTTTTGTGGTTGTTTTTTTTTTTTAATTTCTCCCCCCTTCCCCAGCAGGACAAAAAAAAATAAAAATAAAATCGATTGTGCTTTATGATTTAGAAATCGGATTGTGACCTTCCAACCCCGACGACTCGAAGCGCGGCGGCGTTTCTGAAGGGAAAAAAAAAAAAAAAAAAAAAA